TGCGTAGGATCGGTCGGCCTCGTACATAAATTTCATCTATATGGGAGCGGCGAGCGAGCGCGTGTAAGAGTCTCGGCATAGAGGGATCCGGAGAAACGGACCTCGGCTATAGTACGACAGAGATGAAGATAAAGAAAGAGCAAACGAGAGAGAAAGAGAGAAAGTGGGAAGGAGAGAGAGAGAGAGAAAGAGAGAGAGAGAGAGTGAGAGGAAGAGAGGGAGTGAGGGAGAGAGGGAGAGCGAGTGGAATAAAGAGAGCCAACAGAGCTTCCGATCCGTGGAGGTAGCAAATACCTGGCGCCTGTTTGTAAACCCTTTAACGGTAAATCGCCGGCTCGAAAGGGTCTCTTTTGCCAGTTCCCTCCTCTCTCTGGCCCGTGTCTCCTCTCCGCCGCGCCGTTTCCTCTATATTTCTCTCGATAGGCTCGCGTAGGTGATCGCCGGCCAACAGTTCCGTATAAAGAGGGGAAAGTCGGTTCACCGGGCCAGGATCGACTCCGAGCGATCGCAGTTTGTGGCCTCTAGTCACGCCACTGACGAATACCCTGTTCGCGGTAGGCGTACCGCCCAGCCAATCCTCGCCTCGGCGTGAAAACGACCGTCTTAACCGAAAGCGAATCGTCGGCTGCATGGAAAGTCCTGGTGAATCGCGAATCCTTCGCAAAACGATCGCTTCCGGCGACCTGGCCCACTTCTAACGACCACGATCGCGTCACCGAAGCGACGACGATCCGTAGCGAACCATCGAAAAGCTGGAAGATCCGACCGCGAAACGATAACTTCCGGCGACTTGGCCCAGTTCGAACGTGGACGATCAGGCTATCGGTCACCGCGGGACGTTTACAACCTTTATTGATTGTCGTCCTGGAAAGGCGAACCATCGAAACGTCGGAGATTCTAGCGCGAAACGATAATTTCCGTCGACCTAGCCTAGTTCCAACGACGGCGATTAGGCTATCGGGACGTTTACAAGGTTCGTCGGCTCGGAAAGCCGGGGCAACGGAACGCTGGAGATTCGAACGCGAGGCGATAAGTTCCGGCGACCTGGCCCAGTTCTAATGACCAGGACACCGGACGCCGCGGTACCAACAATTAGGCTACCGGTCTCCAACGAAGGGACGACAGTTACGAGCGGCCGAGGGATTCAAAGAAGGCGGCGAGGCTCTTTGATCGGACGTGCCAGTGGAACGGATCCTCGGCCTTCTCGTTTTAGCCCGAGAAGGTGGCTGGCTGGCTACCCCGTTCTTGTAGATAGGAGAGGACCCGCGCGCGTATACGTGGGTCCCGCATTGGCGTCGAGCTCCCACTCGCTTCGAATTCGATTCGCATAGATTCTCCGGGAAAGCGAACGAACGGCAGTCCCGCAGCCAATTCCGATCGGTGCTCGTTTTTTTGCGGGTTAATACAAAAATGGTTAACGATATCGATGGTGTACAGTAAATTCTCCCCAGTTGTCCCTCGGCTCGGAAAAGAAAATGAACGACTCGGGAAGAGGGGAGAATACGATTAATCGAGCCACGCGGCTCGTTTTTATAGCTGCCGATTATCAATAACTATAAAGACGAGCCGTATGGCTCGAATAATCGTATCTCCTCTTCCGAAGTTGCCCATTTTTGTTTCGAACGCGAGGGACAATTGGGGAAGAATTTACTGTACAGGTATTCCCTCTTCTTGAGATGGAGCATGTTTATCTTCGTTTCTGAGCCGATGATGGGTAATGCAATTTTTGTACACGCGATTACCGATGTTTATAGTCGTCAGCCACCGCAGCCTGACAAAACGAATCGAACTCGTGGCGGAGAAATCCCCGTCAGTTTCTAATTACCGTTTTCCCTTTATTATAATCAGCTTCCGTTCCGCGGAGATTAAATTCCCCGGTACAAGAGTACATATCATACTGGAAAGGGAATAATCGTGGATAAATATCTAATAAGTTCTGAGCGGAGGGACTCGTTGGCCGCATTAAAGAGGGCCCGATTAAGAAACACGCCGGGCATTGATTGGAGCGACTCCGGCTCGAAGGAAGCGACGTCGACGATCATGGAGAGATTATTCGGGGACAGGTGCGTACACAAACAACGGGGCCCGTGTAGGCACAAGAACCGAGGGTCGCGGTGTGCGTGGACCCGGCGCGTATATATTTTATAATTAGCCCCGGAGGCTCTGGCGCGATAAATCAGCGCGCCGCCCAGGCTTAAGACTTAATTAAAAATTTAGTCAAAAACCAATTAGCGGCTATGCCGGATTAACATATTTCTAATTATCTGCCGGACACTTTTGGCCGCCCTATACAGTTGCCTCGACTACTTGCTGTCCGTGTGCGAGCCGCTCGATGACTTTGCGATACATTTCGTCGCCGCTGACGGACCTCTCTCTCCCCTCCATCGTTTCGTCTCGTCCCGTTTCGTGGGACTATAATGCCTCTTTCAATCTCTTTCATCACGCACCGACCACAGAAGGTCGTTGCCACGATCGATGGTGACCAAAAGGATCATTGTTTCCACCCTCCAGACTCCCCCGGATCGATTCCCGGTGATCGTCGATGATACGAGTCCGATGACTTACCTTTCAGTTTCGACGTTGCCGGACGCAGCATCGTCGGCTTCTGTCCTTCGGCTCGCAGACTTTTCGTCGCGACGATGGACTATCGATGCGAAAACTTCACAGCGATTCGGTCGCGTTAGATCTCTCTAGAAGCAAAACAGGTTCGCGCAAACATTCGCAAACTTATTAAACCACGCGTTTTTCTCTCTGCCGCTGAAACGCGATGTCTATTTCTTTTCGTACAGCTTCTCCAGCAAGAGATCCGACTCACTGTCAACGAAATCCTATAAATTTTGCACTGGACATATTTCTATATTTTCCTACCCAGATCAGGCATACCTGAGGACACAAGAAACAAAACAATATTACGTTACCAGGGTCTGATTTTCTAGGGACTCGATAGTACGGTAGAACCTCGATCATTCGGTTCTCCAAAATAAAAATTATCTATCACGCAATCGGCATAATTTATGCGAACCCATATGCAAAACTAGCGTACACATTTTTTTTCTTTACTGTACGAATTAGTAAAGATGAAATCCGGCACTTTAATTAAGTGATTGTACTATTACCAAAAGAATTCTATCGCTCTGCTTAGCCCGGATAATCGAGGTTCCACCGTATTATTGAAAAGCTCTCTCACGCTCGCGCGATCCTGGTTTCAAACAGCCCGAAACCAGAGAGAGCGACTGTCGTATTCCGATGATCGAGGATCCCGAGAAGAAGGTGATATCGTGGGTGCACGGTGCCGAAGAACGGTAACACGTCTGCGTAAATACTGAAATCACTTTTATTTCGCTATGGTATACTTCCATGGATAAATTATATCATGTTACATTTATACAGGGCGCTTAGGTACATCCGGGGTGCAGGCTCGCAGCTCGTGCTCCCGGTGGTCAAGGGCCAGAATTCGCCTCGATCGATCGATCGCACGCCAACGGGGTACAGAATTTACATTTCGCTCGATGCCTGCCGGCAATCTCACTCTCGCGTATGTACACACGACTCCTCGACTCTCTTCTATCGTCGCCTCGCTCGCTCCGCGGCTATACTAGCTATACAGGGTGTCCCAAAAATGTCTCGCAATCCGGAAATGGTGGGTTCCTGAGGTCATTTGAGGTAACCTTTTCCTCAGCGAAAATGCAATCCGCGGCTTCGTTTACGAGTTATTAACGATAACAGTGACCAATGGGAGGCAAGCTTAGCTTGTCGCGCTGTCGCGCGGCGGTTCAGCCAACGAGCGAACGGAGCCCGGTTCCGCTGATTGGCTCGGTCGCCTAGCGCTAGGCGACCGAGCCAATCAGCGGAACCGGGCTCCTGTCTCTTATACACATCTAGATGTGTATAAGAGACAGGAGCCCGGTTCCGCTGATTGGCTCGGTCGCCTAGCGCTAGGCGACCGAGCCAATCAGCGGAACCGGGCTCCTGTCTCTTATACACATCTAGATGTGTATAAGAGACAGGAGCCCGGTTCCGCTGATTGGCTCGGTCGCCTAGCGCTAGGCGACCGAGCCAATCAGCGGAACCGGGCTCCTGTCTCTTATACACATCTAGATGTGTATAAGAGACAGGAGCCCGGTTCCGCTGATTGGCTCGGTCGCCTAGCGCTAGGCGACCGAGCCAATCAGCGGAACCGGGCTCCTGTCTCTTATACACATCTAGATGTGTATAAGAGACAGGAGCCCGGTTCCGCTGATTGGCTCGGTCGCCTAGCGCTAGGCGAGCTCGCCTCCCATTGGCCGCTCTTTTTCGTTAATAACTCGTAAACGAAGCCTCGGATTGCATTTTCGCTAAGGAAAAAATTACTTCAAATCACCCGAGGAACCCTCCCCAGTTCCGGATTACGAGACACTTTTGGGACACCCCGTAGAGACCATACTCTCGATCGAGACACCATCGGATCTCCTTGAAAAAGATCCCTCGCGTCCGGATTCCAATTTTCGAGCAATTTGGTGACAGAGATCCCGGCGCGAAGGAACGATCGAAACCTTCCGCGAGTCTGCGATCGAATCGAGGGGAGGGGGGGGGGGTCTCTGTCCTCGGCCCGGAGCCGTTCCAGAGAAATCATCGGTTATTCAGCGGATATTTCTTTCGAGCCGGCCAATTATCTCACCCATAAATTTCCCCGAAGATAAACGAGCCGAACGCGGAGCGGGTCAATTGAAATGCCGAGTCGCGGCCGTTGCGGCCTGGCCGGGATCGATCGTCGATCTTTCTCTCCTCCCGGTCTCGATCCCCTCGGTCCTCCACGGCCTCCTGCTTCTCCTCTCTATCCTATTTTTCTCGGTTTTCTCGCACGGAAATCGCGGACCTGCTGTACACACGCGTATATATACATAGGTACACGGCTCGCCGCGGTTACACGACTATTTACAATATGTACATCGGTGCTGCAGTCCCCTCGTGAGATCAACGCCTTCGAAAATGCTTTCTAAATGCTCTCTCTCTCTCTCTCCCTCTCTCTCTCTCTTTCCCTCTCGCTCGCGATACGCGATCCACGGAGCTCTCTTTCCGCGGGATCGTCGAGTTTGGACACTGAGCGACGAACGTGTTTCGAGGCGAAACGCGAACGAAGAGGGATCTTCTTCCGCTCGTTTCTCGTCCGGCTCTACCTCCGCGACGGCGAACGCGGCCGCCGATTTATTATTTCAAAGTCAAAGTCTCGGTTCGCGTTCACTTCACCGAGAGTTAGAGTCACGTATTTACCTCGTTCGATTGGACTCCGAGTCTCTCCGAATCCCCTCTTCGATTCTTCAAACGCGAGATCCGGCGTCCCGGCTTTTCCGAAATCCGCTTTCGTTATCTCGATACCCGGACCGACGATCTTAGATTATGCTAGAGGTATCACAGGTTTCACTCGTGTCACAGTCCCCAAGTCCTCTGAAACTCATTTCACTTCCCGCCCGAGACGTTGCCGAAGCATCGGTATCCTCGGCGCCATCCCTGATGCTCGATCGCTCTCGGATACTTCGAGATTACAGCTCGATCGCCTGTCCTTCGAGTTTACAGTCTCTTGTCGTCTTTCTTTCCAAGGAAGGAATCGACTTCGGCGCACTTTTCCGTGGAAAATCGCTGGTGTCCAGAGGATCGCCGGAATCGCCCGGGGATCGTCCGGGAACCCCCGTGGCCGAGATCCATCGGAAATTGGAGAGGCAGAGCGGCTAGGGTGCGAGCGACTTGCGCCCGCGCGTCTCCGCTCTGCCTTATTAAGGCCTGTGTCCAGGGGGCCCCATGAACATGGCTGCCGCGGCCGCGACATGGGTGTGCCTAGCCATGGCCGCCGCGATGAAGGGAGGCACTCCTGGGGTTCCAGGGGGCCCCACTCCGGAGAACATCAGGCCCGAGCCGAAACTCGGGTGCAACAGCGGCCGCGCCGACAGCCTCAGCTTCTCGATCTCGGCCTCCTGCAGCCGCTTCGCCTTCGCCCGCCTGTTCTGGAACCAGATCTTCACCTGGAACACGGAAAGTTCACGGTGAGCCGGCGAACAAGCCCACGGTTCGTTCGAAACAAGATTCTGCATTATATTAATATCAGCTTTCGGTTCAGTACTGTAAAAATGAGTTTTTACTCGTATATACAGGATGTCCCAAAAATGTCTCGCAATCCGGAAATGACGGGTTCCTCGGATCATTTGAAGCAGCTTCTTCCTTTACAAAAATTTTCTCCGAGGCACGGTTAACGAGTTATTAACAAAAAACAGTGACCAATAAGAATCGAATACGGCTGACGCGAGGCGGCCCAGCTAACCAGCGCACGAAGCCCAGTTCCGCTCATTGGCTCAGTCGCGTCGCGCCAGCTGAGCTCGCCTCTCATTGGTCACTATTTTTCGTTAATAACTCGTTAATGATGCCTCGGAAAAAATTTTTGTAAAGGAAAAAGTTGCTTCAGATGACCTGAGGAATCCGCCACTTTTGGATTACGAGACATTTTTGGGACACCCTGTATATATATAAATAAATTAAATTAAATGAAATAAAATTTAAATGAAATTAAATTAAATTACGGAATGGCGAGTCGACTTGCACGAATAAATTAATACGCAGCGTCCTCGACAGTTCGTTCGGATCCAAAGATGGCCTTTCCGATTAAGGGTTCCGATCGAAGTTCCCTTGCGTAAACACGGCGTAGCGATTGCGTAAAACACCGGTAAAACACTGGTAGCGGCGATACGAAGACTAATAAAATTTACAGCATAGGCAGAGAGGCACGGATCCCCGAAGCACATAAATACCAGAACGAAATCTCTCGGTCTCATCGTATCGAGAGATTTATTCACCTAATTACGCCGATGGAAATCGCTCGGAAGAAAATGCCAGGGAGTCGGCTAGCGGGCTACCGATACGTAATTAAATAATTACGGCATCGATCGGCGCAAGCTGCCGATCTAACGAGGGAGACGAGCGGAAAAGTCGGTGGTTACGGCGCGGCATGAGCGACCGTTTAGCGCGTAATTAGCCGCCTCAAATTGGTGAAAGCAGCGATCTAACAGCGTCCGAGGAATTCGCCGTCGACGGCTGGAAACGCCGCCTCGCGCCGCGTCGCGCCGCGCCGCGGAAAAATATGGCGACCGATATCCTCCTTTGTCGCAGAAACCCCGCGGTTCTCCGATCCGATCGCCACGATCTAGTACGCGTCGCCGTCGAGATCTCGAGCAGAGTTTCCCTTTGAGAATCGTTCCCCGGAAAATTTCCCACTCGGACGCGGGTGCGATGCACGGTTAACGAATCCGCGTATCAGCGAATTAAACGCCGACTCCGAGCACCGTTGGCGCTGGTGCTAATTAGATCGGTCGTTTCGTTTGATGCGGCCGTTTCACGGCTATTATTTTTATTAACATTCGAGGAAATAACCAAGCCATGAAACTTTTACGCGTGGCGCAACGATCACGAATATCGCGACCCTCCGGTTCGCAGGACCCTGTGACAGCGTCGGACAACGATCAGCGGATCGTGATCCGTACGTAGAATTTTTTTCTGGGCTCTTGAAAGATCGACGAAGATGTCTAGGGAGTTTGAAGTCGGTACGTTTATCGGTTCTAGTTTGGAAAATTCTCGGAAAAACGAAGACTTGCCGATTGAAACATGAAACGATACTTTCGATTATTCCAGCTTTAATCGACACCGATAGCAACAAAGGGAGAACATTATCAACAACATTTTTTCCCGCGCTCTATGAAGATCGACGAAAATGTCTGCGAAGTTTATAAAATCGGGACGTTCGTTGGTTCTACCTTGAAACATACTGTGGAAGAAGGCCAGGACTCTGCCGAGCGTTCCGGCTTCGTGAAATCGGCGTTAATAACAGCAGTTCGTATTAATGATAATCGGCTGATTATTGTTTCTCTGGATCGTTTGCGACTCCCTTTGGCCCCGTCGATCACCAAAGCGTTACTATCGAAGGAGGGCTCGGCTCTGGGGTGCTCGTCGCTATCATGGACGCGGTTTTTTCTCGACGGTAATGCGGGCAGGCTCCGGGAATTATGCATTAGGCGGTCTGTGGCACGTGTAACGAGTTCAAGGAGCCGTAATCTGATCGCTAAAATCGGTATAATGATGCAGTGGCAAGGCTAAACTGAAAACGCAGATGCGAAAAACGATATAAAAGCCGCGGTCTCCTTAATAAATCAGACGCACGTTGCCCGACACGTACAACACATGTATGCATGGCAACAAGGCCGGAGGATACTACTCGTCGCGTAGAAAGTTAGAAATCTCGCGTCGCGTGACAATGCGCAATCAAATCGTTACCCGGCCTCACCCGCCGGGAAGACGTATTGCGATATTCTGCTTGGTTTTTCCTCTAACCGGCCGCACGACTTTTCCGCATTTCTACCGAGGAAAACCCGTTGCCACTTGCAATTTTCCAGCGGACGGAATGGCGGCCGAACACGCTGTCTTTTTGGACACGCGGTTCTCCTTCCTCCACGCTTGTTCTGGGCCTCAATCCTCCTCGAAATGTTTCTCAATGTTTAGTAAAAATTGTTTTCTACGTTGTCACAATTTCCATTTAGTATTCTAAGATCGACAAATGCTGTGTTTAGGGAGTCCACTAAAATCGTGCCGTGTTCCCGATCGTCATAATTTCAGTCGGATATTCGAAAATTAATAAATACAGTATTTTGGATTGGAAAATAAATTTCGGGAGTCCACTAAAATCGTGCCGTGTTCCCGATCGTCATAATTTCAGTCGGATATTCGAAAATTAACAGATGCAGTATTTTGGATTGGAAAATAAATTTCGGGAGTCCAATAAAATCGTACCGTATTCCCGATCGTCTTAATTTCAGTCGGATATTCGAAAATTAACAGATACCGTGTTTTGGATTGGAAAATAAACTTTGAGAGTCCAATAAAATCGTGCCGTGTTCCCGATCGTCTTAATTTCAGTCGGATATTCGAAAATTAACAGATACCGTGTTTTGGATTGGAAAATAAACTTTGAGAGTCCAATAAAATCGTGCCGTGTTCCCGATCGTCTTAATTTCAGTCGGATATTCGAAAATTAACAGATACCGTGTTTTGGATTGGAAAATAAATTTCAGGAGTCCACTAAAATCGTGCCGTGTTCCCGATCGTCATAATTTCAGTCGGATATTCGAAAATTAACAGATGCAGTATTTTGGATTGGAAAATAAATTTCGGGAGTCCAATAAAATCGTACCGTATTCCCGATCGTCTTAATTTCAGTCGGATATTCGAAAATTAACAGATACCGTGTTTTGGATTGGAAAATAAACTTTGAGAGTCCAATAAAATCGTGCCGTGTTCCCGATCGTCTTAATTTCAGTCGGATATTCGAAAATTAACAGATACCGTGTTTTGGATTGGAAAATAAATTTCAGGAGTCCACTAAAATCGTGCCGTGTTCCCGATCGTCATAATTTCAGTCGGATATTCGAAAATTAATAAATACAGTATTTTGGATTGGAAAATAAATTTCGGGAGTCCAATAAAATCGTGCCGTATTCCCGATCGACTTAATTTCAGTCGGATATTCGAAAATTAACAGATACCGTGTTTTGGATTGGAAAATAAATTTCGGGAGTCCAATAAAATCGTGCCGTATTCCCGATCGACTTAATTTCAGTCGGATATTCGAAAATTAACAGATACCGTGTTTTGGATTGGAAAATAAATTTCGGGAGTCCAATAAAATCGTGCCGTATTCCCGATCGACTTAATTTCAGTCGGATATTCGAAAATTAACAGATACCGTGTTTTGGATTGGAAAATAAACTTCGGGAGTCCAATTAAATCATACTGTGTTCCTGATCATCTTTATTTCAATCGGGTATTCGAAAATTAACAGATACCGTATTTTGGATTGAAAAATAAACTTTGGGAGTCCAATAAAATCGTGCGGTGTTCCCGATCGTCTTAATTTCAGTCGGATATTCGAAAATTAACAGATACCGTATTTTGGATTGAAAAATAAACTTTGGGAGTCCAATAAAATCGTGCGGTGTTCCCGATCGTCTTAATTTCAGTCGGATATTCGAAAAATAACAAATACAGTATTTTGGATTGGAAAATAAATTTCGGGAGTTCAATAAAATCGTGCCGTGTTCCCGATCGTCTTAATTTCAGTCGGATATTCGAAAAATAACAAATACAGTATTTTGGATTGGAAAATAAATTTCGGGAGTTCAATAAAATCGTGCCGTGTTCCCGATCGTCTTAATTTCAGTCGGATATTCGAAAATTAACAGGTACCGTGTTTTGGATTGGAAAATAAACTTTGGGAGTCCAATAAAATCGTGCCGTGATCCCAATCGTCTTAATTTCAATCGGATATTCGAAAATTAACAGATACCGTGCTTTGGATTGGAAAATAAATTTCGGGAGTCCACTAAAATCATACTGTGTTCCTGATCATCTTAATTTCAATCGGGTATTCGAAAATTAACAGATACCGTGTTTTGGATTGAAAAATAAACTTTGGTAGTCCAATAAAATCGTGCCGTGTTCCCGATCGTCTTAATTTCAGTCTGATATTGAAAAATTAACAGCGTTTTAGCTCGGAAAATAATCGCGAAGCGCGAGTTCAACGTCCCGTAAAAATATTTTGGCTCGAACGGTCGATCGATGGGTTTCATCTGTGCTGCGAGTATCGATTGCGGGACGCCTTTCTGTGTCATTGTCTCGGGGATAGTAAAATGGATTTTTCGAGGATGCGGGATCGATGCGGAGACCCCGGCCCGAAGGCATTTCCACGAACGGTGCAATTGCATTCGAACGGCGTGAATATCGCAGCCTAAATCGCGAACATACCTCTTCGTCGCGGGTGAATAATGAAGGGGCGGGGGTGCAGAGGGTCGGGGAACCGGTGTGTGTTTCGGAAAGGAAGGCGAGGACAGGAGGCGAGGAGATGGCGGGACGATCGTAGCTTATCTAAGCAAATGAATACGACGAAGCTTCATTTCGTCTGATGCATTGTAATGAATGCGCAAAGTGTATCTGAACACGCTAACCGCACGATAATAGCCGCATCGCGACGGTCCTTTCGGCTATTACACGTGTCAGGGGACAACGTATGCCCAGCCTCGTTCAGAACCAACTCTCTGTGCTAATGTCGACCCGCATGGGTGTAAAATTGCCACCGGAATTTTCGCTCGCACCATCAGCTGCTTAACACTTGAACTGCCGAACCAGTCAAAATACAGTAATTTCTCCCTACTTCGCGCCCAGATTGCGCACAAAAATGGACGATTTGGGAATAGGAGATACGATTGTTCGAGTCTTGCGTCCCGTTTTTATAGTTGTTATATTGTTATAGTTATATAATTATATTTATAGTTATTATATATACAGGGTGTCCCAAAAATGTCTCGTAATCCGAGAAAGGGAGGTTCCTGAGGTAATTTGAAGTAAGTTCGTCCTTGGCGAAAATGCAATCCACGGCTTTGTTTACGAGTTATTAACGAAAAAGAGTGACCAATGAGAGGTGAGTTATGCTGGCGCAAGGCGGCCGAGCCAATGAGCGGAATTGGGCTTCATCATTGGCTCGGCCGCCAAGCGCTAGGCGAGCTCGCCTCTCATTGGTCAGTGTTTTTCGTGAATAATTCGTAAACGAAGCCACGGGTTGCATTTTCGCTAAGGAAAAAGTGACTTCAAATGATCCCAGGAACTTCTCATTTCCGGTTTGCGAGACATTTTTG